CCTTGCTCATCTCTGTGGGAAAATGGGACGGTGAACTAGAGAGTCCATTGGTCTGATCCAGCTGCCAGGATTAGCCACAAATGGCCGCTGGTCTTTATCAGCTTGTGATATTGGCCTGGAGTGGCAAAAGGCCGTGGTCTGATTGACCGCTGGGAGAATGGGTGCTGGACCAGATCCAGCCAGGCCAGGATTTGTGGCAGACAAATCACACGGTGCGTGTTGACATAGCTAGGCTACCATGTGAAGGCTGCCGTCGCCGCAGAGCCAACGTGGTGTGCAAATCGCCCTTGTATACAAGATTGTGTGGGATAAGGAGAGTGGAAGATTCTCCTGAAGGTTTGAAAAGGAAAGCTATGCTTTTGGTGCAAGACTAAGCTACAGTTTAGCACCTTCCTCTGATGTGGCCACCAGGAGGAGTTCAGAAACATCTGGCTCGGTTTGCGACCGTAGCGGTTTAGCGTTACGTCCGAAACCTGGCAAACGTTTAGCGCTACATCTGAACGTGGCCACAGTCACAGAGGCAGGCATGACGCAGGCTGGTCCCCGAGGAGAAAGGAAAGACCGGGAAACTTGGCTTTATCGTGGAAGAAAAGACTCTTAATGGCTACTAACCACAATGGCTATGTTTCAGCTCCCCAGTTGGAGGCCTCTGAATATTAGCTGTTGGGAATCACAGGTGAGTGAGCCTTGCTGGGCTCAGATTCTGCTTGTGAGCTCCGTCTGGGTATCGAACCGACCACAGTGAAAACAGAGCACTGGACTGGTTGGGCTACTGGCCTGATCGAGCTCCAAAGAAGAGGGAACAGGGCAACAGCTGAGTGGTCGAGAGAAATGTGTATAATCAGGTTCAGTCCCAGTTAAGAATGGATTTGGGCGGAAGAGCCAGGGAGAAGCTTCAGCTGCTGCCAGTCAGAGTGGACATTTCTAGGCTAGGGAAGCCGGTGGACGTATGGCAGCTTCAGTTACATGGAAGGCACAACCTACAATTATTATTATTATTATTAATTGAATTTACATACCCCCCAATACCCAGAGGCGGTTCATGGAATAAAATCAAAATAGGCAACCACAAAATACATAATCAAAATAAAAACAACAACCCAATACCCACCCATCCACACAAAAAAACCCCCACATTTTAAAAGGGCATACAATGTCAGACCCTGGTATGACATATACAAGCTCCAACAGACCAGGCAAGAGTCTCCACAGAAACGCCGTCACTCCAAAGCAATTGTTCTCGGCCAAAAATCATGTCCCACAAAGTATTAAATCGGGCTAAGCACATAATAAACTGAGTAACAATAATTTATTTCTGCATTTTATTAAAAAGTAACCCCAAAACAAAAAAAAAGGGGGGGGGATTCAGGAACTAAGTTTTATCCACAAGGAGGTTGACAGAAAGGACGGGTGCATTCAAAATTTTGTTTCTTGGGCAAAAAAAGGAAGCTAAGAATTAACAGATCCTGAGGAGCACACGAAGACAGTGAGCAGTGCAATTCTAACCACGTTTAGTCAGAAGTAAGCCCTGCTGAATTCAGGGGGGCTTACTCCGAAGTAAGCAGGATTGGGACTGCAGTCTAGGAAACTGGGGGGGGGGGCTGGCAGTTTGCATGTGACCTGAGCAAATACCCTAATCTGGAAAAACACACACAAAAAGATCCAGCGTATGGAAATGGCGCGATTCTTTCTCTGCCAGGGGGATCTAGTTGCTCTCACTGGGAGCCCCTGAGATCCATCTGCGTTTGCGGTTCAGAGAAGGGCCTCGATCCGGCTGATGGAAGCTTGGACTGAGTCGCACCGGAAGCAGCCATCTCTTTGGCTGCACCAGTTCCTACAAGGCAACTCATTCAGAAAGATGACGCACTTTGGAAGGGACTTTGGTCAACAGGCCTCACCTTAGTTGGGGCTCACTTTTGCTGGATGGATCCCTGACTACCTGGCCCCGGGATGGGGCGAAGAAGACCGGCTTGAGGGCCTTGCGGCAGCCATTGACCATGACTTAAATAAATTCACAATAGCCAGGGTGACTGTGGTGTGTCTGCACCATTCTGAAAACCAGTGGCTGGAAGAAGGAAAGGGGGCCTTGGGTTCGAATCCTGGTTGCTGGTTACCCATGGTGGGCATCTGGTTGGCCACGGTGAGAAGGGGATGCTGGACTTAGATGGCCCATTGGCCTGATCCTGCAGGCTCTCTCTTCTGCTCTGTGGCGGTGGAGACGCTTCTTTGGGTCTGCGTCTTCCATTGAAATGGATGGGCCAGTCTGTTCACAAGAGCCACAGGTGCGCATCAAGAGTGCATGAGAAGGTCCAGATCAGCCAAGTGGAAGTTCAGGAGTCAAGGAAAGGTAGGGCAAGGTTGCCAGTGGTTAGCAAGGGGTGCTTTGAACCATGCTCCTGTTGTGAGCAGGAAATGTCTGCCCGCAGACTGTCTTGCCAGAGTGGTGCATGCTCTAGTTATCTCCCACTTGGACTCCTGCAAAGTGCTCTACGTGGGGCTGCCTTTGAAGGTGACCCGGAAACTACAACTAATCCAGAATGCGGCATCTAGACCGGTAATTGGGAGTGGCCGCCGAGACCACATAACACCAGTCTTGAAAGACCTACATTGGCCCCCAGTACGTTTCCGAGCACAATTCAAAGTGTTGGTACTAACCTTTAAACAGTTCCCTCCCTGCGAGAAGCCAAGTTACAGGCAGCCAGGCAGAGGGCCTTCTCGGTGGTGGCACCAGCCCTGTGGAACGCCCTCCCACCAGATGTCAAAGAGAACAACAACTACCAAACTTTTAGAAGACATCTGAAGGCAGCCCTGTTTAGGGAAGCTTTTAATGTTTAATAAAGGTAAAGGTAAAGGTACCCCTGCCCGTACGGGCCAGTCTTGCCAGACTCTAGGGTTGTGCGCTCATCTCACTCTATAGGCCGGGAGCCAGTGCTGTCCGGAGACACTTCCGGGTCACGTGGCCAGCGTGACATCGCTGCTCTGGCGAGCCAGAGCCGCACACGGAAACACCGTTTACCTTCCCGCTAGTAAGCGGTCCCTATTTATCTACTTGCACCCGGGGGTGCTTTCGAACTGCTAGGTTGGCAGGCGCTGGGACCGAACGACAGGAGCGCACCCCGCCGCAGGGATTCGAACCGCTGACCTTTCGATCGGCAAGTCCTAGGTGCTGAGGCTTTAACCCACAGCGCCACCTGCGTCCCGTTTAATGTTTAATAGGTTATTGTATTTTAGTGTTCTGTTGGAAGCCGCCCAATTATTATTAAATGTCAGCAGCATCTCCCTTTCGTTCCTCGCCTCTTCCCCCTCATCCCAGCCGGGACACATCCCTGCCACTGCTATGGCAGCACCGTGGGAGAACACCTGCACTGAGTGCAGAAGGCCCTGGGTCTAATTCTTGCCCTTCCCAGGAAGGGCTGGCAAAAGGCCCTCTCTGTAATCTGGGAATCCCTGCTGCCTGCCAGTCTGGAAAAGATGGCGCTGGTCTGATTTTGGGAGAAGGCAGATTCCCTCCGACAGAAGTGATAAAGCGTCATCTACGGCTTGTGTGTGGATACAGCAAAAGAGGGGGAAATAGGAGCCCACATTCTTACGTGCCACGGAAGAAAGTTGACGCAACAGGCGCTGAGTTCCGCCACGTTTGCCCAGACAGGCCAACATCGAAAAGACTACCCCCTCCTCAAGCCAATGCTTATTGCCAAAAAATTCTTTCCAATCCCAGTCGCTGAAAAGAGCAAGTAGTGTAGAGTGGCAAAAAAAAAAATCAAAATAAATCTCAACAGGAAGCACGTTTGTGAACATGGAATTTACTTCTGGTAGGAAATCTCTGTGTTTCCTGGTGATCTTCCAACCAGGTTCTCCCCTTCTCCAAAGCACCCCCTGCCGCTCCAAATATGCGGAAAGGCAGGGTTTGGGATATAATAATACAGATCTTGGGAGAAAAGCAATGACAAACCTAGATAGCATCTTAAAAAGACATCACCTTGCTGACAAAGGTCCGCATAGTTAAAGCTATGGTTTTCCCAGTAGTGATGTATGGAAGTGAGAGCTGGACCATAAAGAAGGCAGATCGCCGAAGAATGGATGCTTTTGAATTCTGGTGCTGGAGGAGACTCTTGAGAGTCCCATGGACTGCAAGAAGATCAAACCCATCCATTCTGAAGGAAATCAGCCCTGAGTGCTCAATGGAAGGACAGATCCTGAAGCTGAGGCTCCAATACTTTGGCCACCTCATGAGAAGAGAAGACTCCCTGGAAAAGACCCTGATGTTGGGAAAGATGGAGGGCAGAAGGAGAAGGGGACGACAGAGGACGAGATGGCTGGACAGTGTTCTTGAAGCTACCAGCATGAGTTTGAGCAAACTGCGGGAGGCAGTGGAAGACAGGAGGGCCTGGCGTGCTCTGGTCCAGGGGGTCACAAAGAGTCGGATACGACTAAACGACTAAACAACAACAATACACATCAGTAAGGAAGTGAAAGATACAAAGAATAACATGGATTGTTCTAGAGGAAGCTGCTCTTCATTGACTCTGGCTGTACGTCTAGAGCACATGGCTTTCTCCAGAGTAACCTGGGAACTGGAGTTCACCCTTGGCAAACCAGCGCCTTTAACAAGCTACAGTTCCCAGGACCCTTTGGGCTGGGGAGCTTTAAATGTATACACACCTCCACCTGGAAGAAAGGAACAGCACACCTCAACGCTAACGTTATACGGTTTCAAAGTAAAGCTCTGGCTCCAAATCCAAACAGAAGACTATGGAAGGAAGGAAGGAACTGGAAGCCAAAAAATTAAGATCTACCCCAGTGTTATCCCAGTTGTTTCACAAAACCATAGAGTTGGGCGATATTGGAAGACCAGACCAGACCCTTCTGCTGGGAGTAAAGGCTCTATCTTCCCACCAAAGGCTATTTTCCCACCAAACCCACAACAGAGGGAGTTTGCACATGGCCAAAAGGATTTACGGGTCAAATCACTGTGACAAATTCCTCCTCATAATTTTTTGTGTGTGTGTGCATGAGTTGGCTAAGTCGATCTGCGACTACTTTCCAAAAACCTCAACGCTTCCCACGATGGTTAAGATGCCTAATAAAGGTGAGGGTATAGCAGCTGTGACCAACCTAGTGGCCCTCCAGATGTTTTCAACTTCAACACCCATCAATCCCAGCTTTGTGATGCTGAGCCTCATGGGAGCTGCAGTTCCAAACGCCTGGAACTTGGCGAAGGCTGGGGTGGTGGGTTAGGCACCCGGCAGTGCATCTAGAAAACTCTCGTTGGACCATAAAGGCAACTTGGGAAGAAAAGAGAAGGAAGAAGAGAGTTTGGGTGCTCGGCGTGAGAGAGGATGGAGCTTAACTGACTGCTGTGACAATACTGATGGAACCTTCAACCATTCCTCATCAGGCACAGAGAGCAACTGAGCGGCTGCGTCTCATATTTCCATTGAGATACAATATCCGAAAAGGGTGGCAATGGCAGCCTAGTGCTACCAGACAACTCAGGGTGATGCCAGGACTTTTGTTGCCTCGACACACACAGCGACTCCTCCTAGATCTGTACAAACCTGCCCTCTGCACATTTATTGCTGGGTCCACACACCCTCCCACAACCAAGGTCCAAGCCCCTTACCCTTGGGACCAGGCTCCCTTCCTTCTGTAACCCAGCGCAACGTTCTCCTTTCAGCCTTGGGAGCAAAACCTTCTGAAAATATTAGTTCCGGAATGGCTGCCATTTTGAATTCGTTCTGACAACGCAGCAGCCGCCAACGTTTGAATCGATAGCAAAAGGCCGTCTCTGCAACAAGTGGCCCAGAGCCACAGACTCACACGAGATCTCAGCGTTTATTTCGAAAACTGGAGGCGGTGGCGGAGGTGAAATTGCAAATCTGTCCACGGGAAAAAGGGGCATTTCTGTTTGAGCCAATGGCCCTGACTGTACTTGGGAAAGTGAGCTGTTCCTGCAAGCTAATTTCTCCCCCTTTTTTTATTTCCTAAAGTTGGCTGCTGGAACAAATTCGGAACCGGAATAACATCAAGGACAACATTTTCAGTGCGGAGAAGGCATTGACCATTAAACGGTCCTCTCAAATCCAGACCCTTTGCTTGCCAGCTCCATCTGTGATTGTACGCTAGGTCAAAATTCCACTGGAGCAGCTCTAGTTTTTCTGGTTCACTCGCTCGGATGGGTGAATCCAAAACTCTCCTTCATTGGAAGGGACCCCAAAGGTCATCGAGACCAACCCCCTTGAAATGCTGGAACGACAGGTGGTTATTCAACCTCTGCTTAAAACGCTGAAATGAAGGAGAGTCCACGACTTTCTGAGGGAGTCCGTTCCACTGCTGAACAGCTCTTACCATCAGAAAGTTCTTCCCGATGTTTAGTTGGAATCCCCTGTATTTTAACTTGAATCCATTGGTTCGGGTCCTACTACCCTCTGAGCAGCGGACAGGAATCTGGGGCAGCGCTGGGTCATTCCCTCAGACAGGAGACCCCAAATCTCCCCACCTCTTCACTCCCCAGAACTGAGAGGGTTCCAACTTCTGCCCAACAGGGAGAGAATCTCTCTCTCCAGGGGCCAGATTAATCTCACAACATCCCTGAGTCTAAGTCCAAGGCCCCTTGAAAGCTGGCCTACTAGGACAAGGCAGTGCCGGGCAGAAGACAAGCAGTTGCTTAACGTTTCAGTGGAGGGAAGAAAACAAAGAAACGAGATGTGTTTTGGTCAGTAAAACCTACCAGAGAAAAACGAGGCTAAGACACGTCACCAGAGCATCCGAGGATCAGGGGGAGAAGGGGTGCAAGAAGTCAGTGGGCTGAAGATTTGCACCCGAGAGATGCTGAGCGACACGGGCCACGATCCCACCAGGAACGACTCCCGGGTAAATTCCGCCGACGTGATCGGGAAGCGGCAAAAGGCAGCGGCGATGTGTGAACTCAGATACTCAGCACAGCGGCCTTCACCACGCTGGTGCGGGCCAGAGATTTCGGACCACAACTCTCCCATCGAGCTCCCATGGCAGCGCTGATGGGAACTGTAGTCCCAAACATCTGGAAGGGACCAGCGTGGCAAAAGTACAGGAGCATCTCCAGAGCAACAGGTGAGGCTCCTTGTCACCTGAGATGCCCTGGACCGATGATTCCCCAAGATGCATCTGGGATGGTTTAGCACAAGCTTTTACATATATATATTTTTCAGTTTAGGCTAATCCAATGTTATATATATATATATATTTAAAAAAGGGAAATTATCAAATACAAATATATCGATTTATTTACGAAAGAAAGTAAGAAACCCAAAGTGCTAGACCGGATCCAAGATGAACAAAAAACAAAGGAAACGCACCTCCATTTGTTTCTTTAGAAGTCGGTTCTTTTCCTACGTAGCCAGAGCGTTCTGACCCAAACAAAGGCAGATCCCTGGGCAGCCTGCCTCTCCTGAAAGCGACCTCACGGAGACCCAACCAAAGAGCGCAAAAGGAAGTAGAAACTAAGCTGTGTCGCGCTAGGAGGTCAACGGCAACTGGACCCAGCTGCTGAATACCTGGCTCAAAGCTAAATCCGTTCTCCGGTTTACTTATGGCTTCCAATTATTATTTCACCTGCCCCCCGATTCAGGTTTCTAGCTCCTGAGCAACAGCAGGACGAACAGGAAAGACACCAAAAAAATCTGCACCCGGCTTTCTTTAGGGTCAATTGTGCGATACTGCGGGGAACAGGCTACGGAAGAGGCACACTCTCTGATGGGCTAACTGTGGCGCTCGTAAGACTCGCCATCTATGTTTCCGAAACGCTTTAGGGGGAACCAGCTAACAGGCGATGGTCAAGCTTTCCTTGAGAGCGCTGCGTTTTCTTGCGGGGAGGTGGGGTGCAGAGTAAGTGGTCGTAAGGCTTTGGAGCCATTTCCCAAACTCCTGAGAGCTGGGGCCGAGTTTGGAAATGTAAGACCCATTTTGCCACAAAACGTTCACATTTAGAGATGGCTACCCAACCTCGCGGAAGCCCAGCCCTGCCCACTCTGCCCGAGTCACTGTTCCAGCCCTGCACCCTCTGCGTGTGGGTCTTTTGCCAGATCTCTGTGGCCGGCAGATCCGTTCGCAGCCCATTGCACAGACACCGAAGACCCAACCACCACCACCCCATCACCTCCACCAAGAGAGACTTCCTTCTAAGCCACCCAATGGTACTACGTTCTCTCTGGAAGACGACACGCCCGTGGTTGCCACACAGAGACACGGCGGGCACCCTCTTCTGCAGACGGAAGCTTACAAGAGACCCTCGACTTCTTTCAAGGTCAGCTGGCACCTCACACATCCCAGTTTGCAAGAAAAAAGGGCCGAGCCGAATAGCAGAGGGACATCACTCACAGGCAATCGGGCGCTCGAATCTCGCCCAGGTTTCCCCACCTCCCTATCCCCTGCCAAACCCCGCCACGTACCGGCCGCCAGCCCCGAAGCCACGCAAACTCCCGTTCCGTGGAATAGTAGAACTGCGGAGTTGAAAGGGGACCCCAGCGGCCATCTAGCCCAACCCCCGGCAATGCAGCGACAACGTTCCCCCAGACTTGGGACGGGGAAAGCATCTACGGGGGACGTTGGGAGGGGTGAACACAAAGCTGCGCTGTCTTTTTCCTAAATCTGGATTTAAGCTGGAATCGAGGGCCGGCGGCGATGCCAGGAAGAACACTCGTGGAATGCTAGAGAGAGCGCAGCAGCAGCAACAACAACAGCAGCAGCAGAGGTTTTTTGCCTAGCTGTGAGACGGGGGTTGCATGGGGAGGGAGGTCAGTCGGTTTGGTTGCTTATTGGACCGGGAAAGATAATACTGAGTTTATACGCGGAATCGGAGGGTTTTGTGCCCTCTTCACAGGACGACGAGACCCTAAACGGCTAACTTGACATACAAGAGACTGCAAAGAGTTATACTGTTAAGAAGAACACATTTTGGAGACCGGGGGTGGGGGCTTTGGGGGCACGGGGTGGGGGGCACGGGGGGTCGGAAAAGGCTGCTAAGGTGCTACGGCTAAAAACTAAGTTTACTTTCTCGTTTCGGAGCCCCTCCCCCTCCGTCGCGTCATCAGTCGTCGTCCAGGGCCTCTGTTTTGATCTCGCTGGTTCCTTGCCGGGCCAAGGCCAGGATGGTGTGGTTCACGGCCGCCATCTCCACGGCTAGTGAGATAGGGTCTTGGTGGTCGCTATGACTAGTGCTGTCATCCTGGGGAGGCGGAGGAGAAGGGAGGGAGGGAGGGAAGAGAGGGAGGGAGGGGAGGAGAAGGGGAGGAAAGCCCCATTAGCAAGCAACCATCACTCGACAGGAGTTCAGAATAAAGTCTTTATGATGCAACAGTCAAAGGGCAGAAAAGGACTCTAATCATCTAGTGGGTCTTATTTCCAAAGATGGCGGTACATGCTGGTCAGGCACTGGTGGGAGGGAGAAGAGGCGTGCAGAGATAACCACGTTTTCAGGGTTTTATTATTATTACATCCGAAGGCAGCCCTGTTCAGGGAAGTTTTTAACGTGTGGCATTTAAATGTATTTTTGATCTTTGTTGGAAGCAGCCCAGAGTGGCTGGGGAAGCCCAGGCAGATGCGCGGGGTACAAATAAAAAATTATTAAATTATTATTATTATTTCTGAGGTGGTTCCTTTGTTCCCTTGCGCTACGTGCCCCTGGAGGGTCCCTTCCGAATCGAAGACGGAAAGGAAAGAGTCTAGACGGAAGGAGCAACCTGCCACCCTTTCGTGTCCTGCGGGGAATTATGAAGAGGCATGAAAACCACAAAGGGAAGTTTTGGGAAAGCTGGACTCTCTCCTTCCCGTCTGTCCCCGCCCAAATTCCGCAATCTTAAATTCCGCAATCTTAAATTCCGCGAGCGGAAACCTGAAAATCTGCAAGTGGGACGGCAGTATGAAAATCAGAGCAAAGGGGCACCTGTCCACTGTTTACGCAGGCAGAGATTAGGAATGTCTCTGCCGGTTTGCCATGGGATTTGGGCGCTATTTATCAGTTTAGCAAGGCCAAGCTCACGGGCAACCAGAGGCGCCATCCTACCTAGTGATGACTGCTGAGCCCAAATACTTGACTCTTCAGGGCTCTTGGCGAGGGTCTTAGGGGGAAAAACGCGATTCTGCAAGACCCCTGAATTTGTACAATCAAAGACCCCGTCCATAATCTCAGTGGTAGAGACTGGTGCGCTTATCTGCACAAGCACACATACATTTCACATCTGGCCAAATATTTCAGTTTTTATAATTAAAAAAAGACAAGGAAGGAAGGAAGGAAGGAAGGAAGAAGCGTGCAAACAAGGCATTTTTAGAACTCTGCAGAGAGTGGAGGCTGTGCATTCCTGGAAGTGATCTAACACTCTCTTTTTTTAATTTCAGCCGCAGAAGACGGATATAGAAGCTTGTTTGTGGAAGGAATGTTGACGTGCATATGAATAAAATACATGCTTATGTGTTCCTCTCTTCCCCCCCCCCCTCTCTGCGGGAACGTTTTGCCTTCTCTTTCCGTGTCCCAAGGATGGATGTTTTATCCATTTGTCGCTCAGAGCTCAAGACACACATCGACATTTGCATCTTGGTACATTCGCAAATCAAAATAAAACATTACGCTTCAACATGTTCTCAGGAAGAAAATGGGAGGAGGGCAGATAATACGGGAAGAAATGTATTTTGGGGGGATAGTGACATTGAGCACCTCTGAAAAATTATTTCTGCAGCTTTGGGGCAAAATACAAGTCAAGGTGGCATTAAGATTTGTAATAACTGAATCAAGAGAGAAGAGGGGGATGTTATTTCCTGATTAATTTGGATCCTAAACCCGTCCCAGCAGACAAGTTCAGCGGGAGGTAGGAACGCATGAGCTGTGCTTTTATTGTATATATTCAAGGTTGAAGTCCTCACTGAGGCCAGGAAGCTCCCTGTATGACTGAGGCAAGTCCTCAGCTCTCAGCCTAATTTAACTCAAATGCCTTGATGTGAGGGGGAGAAAACTTAAATAATGCTGCACGCTGTGTGCTTAGTTCTTTGGACACAGCAAATAATAATAATAAATTTTTATTTATACCCCGCCCTTCCCGGTTCAAAAACGGGGCTCAGGGCAGCTAACAACAAATTTAAAACACTTAATTGTTAATTGGGGGGGAAGGGTAGGACAAAATTTAAACCAATCCATGGGGAGCACCACTTTCTTTCCTCTATTGAAACTATCTCTGCAAGTCTCCCTGCTCTAAATGCTTCTGGCACTGCCTCTGCACTTTTGATTCATGCCAGTTCTGTGTTTCTTTGTGTACATAGTGAAATGCAATTGCTTAAACCACATTAACTCAAGTACTGTTCCTGGGGGACAGAAGACTGGCAGGTGTGGAGGACTCCCTGGTCTTGAATGGGGCAACTGTGCCCCTGAAGGACCAGGTGCGCAGCCTGGGAGTCATTTTGGACTCACAGCTGTCCATGGAGGCACAGGTCAATTCTGTGTCCAGGGCGGCTGTCTACCAACTCCACCTGGTACGCAGGATGAGACCCTATCTGCCCGTAGGCTGTCTCGCCAGAGTGGTGCATGCTCTAGTTATCTCTCGCTTGGATTACTGCAATGCGCTCTACGTGGGGCTACCTTTGAAGGTGACCCGGAAACTACAACTAATCCAGAATGAAGCAGCTTGACTGGTGACTGGGAGTGGGCACTGGGATCACATAATACCAGTCCTGAGAGATCTTCTTTGGCTCCCAGTACGTTTCTGAGCACAATTCAAAGTGTTGGTGTTGACCTTTCAAGCCCTAAATGGCCTTGGTCCTGTATACCTGAAGGAGCGTCTCCACCTTCATCGTTCAGCCTGGAAACTGAGGTCCAGCTCTGAGGGCCTTCTGGCGGTTCCCTCACTGCGAGAAGTGAGGTTACAGGGAATCGGGCAGAGGGCCTTCTTGGTAGTGGCACCTGCCCTGTGGAACGCCCTCCCACCAGATGTCAAGGAAATAAACAACTATCTGACTTTTAGAAGACATCTGAAGGCAGCCTTGCTTAGGAAAGTTTAAAATGTTTGATGTTTTGTCAGTTTTTAAAATTTATTATTAATATTCTGTTGGAGGTTGCCCAGATGGGCAGGGCATAAATAATAATTATTATTAATAATAATAATTTTGCCCAAGCTGCCCTCCAGCTGCTTTGCACTACAATTCCCATCAGCCCCAGGCAGCACAACAGAAAGCATTCTGTGGCCAATGGGAGTGCAGCTAGGCTGGCTGGGGCTGATGGGAACTGTAGTCCAAAGTCTGGAGCGTGCCAGGCTAGGAAAGCTGATCTAAAGACAATCATATCCATGGGTTTATTTTAAAAACACAAAAATAACCTTAACAAAGAGGAGACGAAGCAGCTCCTGCTTTTTCTAAGGAAGTAATTTGTGGGGGTTTTTTTCATATCTGAGAAAGCAGTGAATGCACATAGGTGCTGGAACATGCACGTGCTCTGAGATTAAAATGCTCTGGCCTTTAACGTCCCTTTAACTAAGCATGGCAAGAGTCAATGCCCTGTACTGACTGGGTTCTTTTTATATGCACAACGACATTCTTTTCACCCAAAAAAAATACAGACGAAAAATTAAAATCGTCGCCTTCATATTTGTAAAGAGCCTCAGAGGAAACCTGAAGCAAAACCTAGTTATTCTTTCATTTCTGTGTCATTCCTCCTCCCAAACAGCAGCCCAGGGCAGTGCACAACTGAATCAGAAAAACCATTTAAAAAATGATTCACAATGACAATAAGAAAACTAAAGACACAGCTGGAAAGTGGGAAGTGCATGGGATCATTTTGCTACCTTTTGATCACCCTTCATACAAGATCCCCAGATAAGTTGGGGAGTGGGAAATCTGAACAGAATGTCGGATATAACACACCCAAGAAAGCATTTTTAAACTGCAGAGAAAGCTTCTTTTTTCAAGGAAAAAGAAGGTACAAAAGTTCAGATTTCCACCTCCCTCAGCGAAGAAAGAATTTAGAAGAAAAACTATTCCCCCAGTCCAGCAGTCTATTCTTTTGCGTTACTTCTTAAAACTTTTGAGTAACTTTTTCAACTAAAAGTGAGCACGGTGAAATATGGCACCTTCATTATATGCCTTTAGGCGTCAGGCAAGAACGTTCGTCTGCAACCGGGCATTGGGCTGATGAACATCCTATTCCGCTTTTAAATGTTTTTAGGGCCAAGGGAGGTATTTGTTCTCGTTTTTGCTTTGTTCTTGTTTTTATTATGCATTTTGTGTTTTTTCACTTTGTATTTTTATGTTGTGAACCGCCCTGAGATCTATGGGGGAATAGCAGTATAGAAATTTAATATCATCATCATCATCATCCAAGGCTTGAGAACCTCCATCCTGGTGCCTCTGGTGGGACTCTCCTAAAAAAGGCACCCGGAAGCCTTAAGTTAAAGGACCCCCATAGCAGAAAGCTCAGTTGGTTCCAGCATGGTGCTGATAATGTCAAGGTTGCAGGTTTGATCCCCGTCTGGGACAGCTGCAAATTCCTGCCTCAGCCAAGATGATCTTCAAGGTTCCTTTCCAACCCTACAATTGGTGGCCAGTTTATCCAGCGGTGGGAAGGGGGCTACTGCGCAACCTGGAAATATGACCATTGGCTTTCCTAGTTCAGGTGTGGACGCTCAGTCGTCCCCTATGCAAGAGATTGCCTTGATGATCTTTCCTGGTAACAACAAGGGAAAGAGACAAAGCGACTGATGGTGCAAAGGAAATCAAAAGGTCCGCCTCCTTTATTTTTCTTCTTGCTCACCCTTAGGAAGCTGCCTTAATACATGTGGGGGACTCCCTGGTCCTGAATGGGGTCACTGTGCCCCTGAAGGACCAGGTGCGCAGCCTGGGAGTCATTTTGGACTCACAACTGTCCTTGGAGGCGCAGGTGAATTCTGTGTCCAGGGCAACTGTCTACCAGCTCCATCTGGTACGCAGGCTGAGACCCTATCTGCCTGCGGACTGTCTCGCCAGAGTGGTGCATACTCTGGTTATCTCTCGCTTGGACTACTGCAATGTGCTCTATGTGGGGCTTTAAAGCCCTAAACAGCCTTGGCTCAGTATCCCCATTGTTCAGCCTGGACACTGAGGTCCAGCGCCAAGGGCCTTCTGTCGGTTCCCTCCTTGCGAGAAGCTAAGTTACAGGGAACCAGGCAGAGGGCCTTCTCGGTGGTGGCTCCCGCCCTGTGGAACGCCCTCCCACCAGATGTCAAAGAGAAGAACAACTACCAGACTTTTAGAAGACATAGATGGCAGCCCTGTTTAGGGAAGCTTTTAATGTTTAATAGACTATTGTATTTTAATATTTTGTTGGAAGCCGCCCAGAGTAGGCGGGGTATGAATAACAAATTATTATTATTATTATTATTATTATTATTATTATTATTATTATTATTATTGCAAAGCCCTGGGCAGCTAGCTTATTGAGTAATTATCAACTTAAATATGTGTGCAGTGAAGCAATCCGGTGGTCTCCTCACCAAAGCTGACCACAGTTCCAAATGTTCACAGCCACAGTCACAGACTGAAGGCCCAGCGTCACTGAATCATGCAGTTATAGCTTTACAGACCACCTAATCCCTCAGCTGGAGAAAAGCCTTGCATAAAAGTGGACCCCGCAAAAAGCTCCGCCAGGACAGACTCCCGAGTAAGAGGGGACTGGCAATGCTCTGTATCTGCCTGGTGAGAGAAGTGGTGCATCGCGGGAGCCTCGTGCGCTGAGAATCCCGAAGTCTTTCCTCAGCACAGGGCAGAGGAAGACGGAAGGGGCTGCAATTATGCGTGGGGGCGAAGGAGCAGCTGATTCCTGGCCCCATTATCCCCCTCTACGCTTTCGGGAAGGTGTGTGGAGAAGGGCGACCGAGACCGACCAAGGGTGCGGACACCAAGCCTGATGAGGAGTGGCGGAAGGCATTGGGGATGTTTAGCCCGGAGGAGAGTGAGAGGAGAAATGATGGGCATCTTCAAAGCTCCAAAGGCCCATGGAAGAGGGAACAAGCTGGTTTCCCCCTGCTCCGGAGGGAGGACTCAAACCAACGGCTTCAAGAAAGGAGATTCCAACAAAACATTAGGAAGAACTTTCTGTCGGTAAGAGCTGTTTGACGGTGCAACGGTCTCCCTTGGGAGATTGTGGACTCTCCATCCTTGGAGGGTTTTAAGCAGAGGTTGGATGGCCATCTGTCAGGGATGCTTTCCTGCATTTTAAGGGGGTTAGACTAGATAGCCCTTGGGGTCCCTTCCACCTCTACAATTCTATGATTCTTTAGCCATGGACTGAATAGCCTTTGGTCACCCCGCAGAACATCATGAGAAGGTGGACAGGGAGGAGTTCCCTTATTGCGCATCGAGCTTCCATACTACCAAGTCGCGATCAATACATTCATTCCTGGGGGAGAGGAGCATGCATGTATCTCTTTGCATTCCTTGCGCTGGGAGGGGGAAAGGGGAGGGAGAAACAACTTTGCATATTTTTGTGCTATAAGCAGGGCTGTGTGTTCCACACCTAATGTGCCGTTCGAAAGCCTAGGCGCTCAGAAACGCACCTTGAGAATTATGCAAATGCGTGTGCCTTGACCTGGATTGCATCCTGACGGATTTTGTTCCCAGGTTTTGCGCCGTCAGAGGAATTTGTAATTCGTTGGCAAGGAGCAGAGGGGTGGAGGGAGGCGGAGGAGAGGCCGGAGCTATGCAGCCAATCGGATTAGAGGGCAGGGGGATGGCTGCCTGGTTGATGGGAAACAAGAGAGCGGCCGTCACTCTGTCAAATCAAACGGGTGGCGCCTGTCCTTCCCTCCATGGGCTGTTCGGAGGAAAAAACCACAACCCAAAACGCGACCATGCGCACAACCCTCTGGTTTCCGAAACTTTATTGAATGCTGTTTCCAGGCTTCTACCTCCCACTGACTAGAACGACAAGCACTGGAAATATTTGTTGCCTTTTTTCCTTTTTAAATAAATAAAAAAATAATAAGACAAGGATGGATTTTCGTAGGATACACACAGCTCTGGTTACAAGGGCACACGGGAGAAAACAAGACCACAGGGTTACGATGATTGGCGGTGCAGAATTTGGGAGTCTCAAATCATGCCCTTGTATTTATTTATTTATTTTTGCAAACGGAGCGTTAACTTGCTTGTTTTGAGCAGATCCTCCTGTCTTCTTCTAACTTCTCTGCTTCTCTGCCTCCCTCTGAACACCGGCCCTCCTCCTCCCCATTGCGTACTTGCCAAGTGTCCTGTTGTGTGACAATAAATCCATGTGGGTGAAAGGCTGGTCCGGTGAGAGGGCTTTCCCCGCCGTTCCCCCGTTGTGCGACAGAGCACAAAAAGCTGGGAGGGTTAATGCGGGAAGCGGAGGAGGGAGGCCAGGACCACCCCCCACCGCCACCTTCCCCCCCCCCCAAATGAGGATTGGCGGCCACCGGTGGGAGAGAGGCGCCGCTGGGGGTTGGGGGGGCCACCTGGCTCGCCTCGGATACTTACCTGCTCCGAATAGTCATTCCCGTCTATGTCATCACTGTTGGAGTGGCCTCCGGGACTTTGAACATCTATGCCATGACTCTCCAGGATTGCTGCTTCTTCGAAAAAAGCAAATGGATCCCTAAATTATCTGCTGCAAGGGTTACCGGCAAGGATGAAGATGAAGAATGGGGACCCCCCCACACACACACAAACGGGGCATGTTGTTTCTTGTAAGAACCACAAATAAGACAACCAGAGCTGTGTGTACCCCACGCTAAAAAAAATAAATGAGGAGTTAAAAGTTCCTGCAACCGAGACAACCCAGATTCGGCAAAACAAGAAATTGGGCGAGTTTGCCTGGTTTGCAGGTTTGTCATGCTCATCTGCGTAGTGTTTCATTCTGCATTTTAAAATTTTATTTTGCTATTGTGCAAAATTACTACTGGTAATCTTATGCAGCCACTTCTCCGACTCCTGAGATTTCGGCAGGCGCTATCTTTTCAGTCATAAGGGCTAGTGACTAGCCTTTCAAACGAGAGCAGCAGTTCTCAGGAAGCCAAATAATGCGTCCAGTTTCACACTTTTTTCCTACATGGTTGTGGAAGTGCAATGCGCGCACACACACAATCCCTACCGAACAGGCTCCAAACCTAAAAGGCCCTTTCGTCAAGAAGGGTGGAAAACTAGACTTGATTGGTCAAAAGCAACATTCATACATTCCCTCTCTCCCTCCCTCTCTTTCCTTATGCTTCCGAATGTTCCCGGATTTATTTATTACTACTGTGGCTTGATGGTTCTTACAATACAGGCACACCATGGGAGGGGTCCCATTTTCATCTTCATTTCAATACAGTCATATCTCTGGTTGAAGCAGCTTCGGGTTGAGCATTTTCGGGTTGCGCTCCGCGGCAACCCGGAAGTAACAGAACGCATTACTTCCGGGTTTCGCCGCATGCACAGACGCTCAAAATGACGTCACGCATGCGCGGAAGCGAATCACGACCTGCGCACACGCAGACGTGGGTTGCGTTCGCTTCAGGATGTGAACGGGGCTCTGGAACGGATCCCATTCGCATCCAGAGGTACCACTGTACGGGGCAAGCCCCTCTTAACATGTGTTGTTAGGCTGTTCAGGAAGGGCGGGTTGATGTGGTTGAAGAACACCAATTTTCCCAAAAATGCAGAAGCTGTTCTGAGCTGGGGTCTTTGCTCAGATAATGGGCACCTTGCCATCTTAAAAAAACAAAACAAAACAAAACAGACGGCCCAAACATATCTGCCTTTCCTAACTGAGGTGGCTCTCCAACTCTGGGTGCCCCCTTTGTTGAAGAAGAGGAAGAAGAAGAGTTTGGATTTGATATCCCGCCTTTCACTCCCCTTCAGGAGTCTCAAAGCGGCTCACATTCTCCTTTCCCTTCCTCCCCCACAACAAACTCTCTGTGAGGTGAGTGGGGCTGAGAGACTTCAAAGAAGTGTGACTGGCCCAAGGTCACCCAGCAGCTGCATGTGGAGGAGCGGAGACGCGAACCCGGTTCCCCAGATTACGAGACTACCTCTCTTAACCATGTGGTTTTCTATTTACTTCCTTCCTTAGGGGAAAGCTTGTATAGCCCGGTAGCAGATCATCTGGTCTTATAAGGCAGCTCCTTCCTTTCCTTCCTCCCTCCCTCCCTCCTCCGCCATGAAGAGGACTAAAAGTCCAGAGAGATTTCTACATCTGGGGGGGCCTACTGAGACCGTGCACTGCAGGGGCTTGGATGCTGCAGCTGCACCGAGGGCCAGGATTGGGCTGGATGTCCTCTGGGGTTCCCTCAAACCCTTTATGACCAAGCCAAGGCACCAGGATATATTCACCGAGGAAAAGCTTGCATTACAGAAGGGAAACTTTGCACGGCAAGGAAAAAAGACTATTCTATGGAATTCATTCATTCTGGAGCAATCTCAAGCAAATGCAAACTGATTTCTGGAATTAGCTGCACAAACACAGTTGGTACAGCCCTCGTTCACTGGCTTACCGTGAACAAATGAGCCAATGAGAATGACCGAAATGTGAATGAGCTCTCCAGAGCGGAGGTTGCGGCTGCTTCACTCCTCTTCCCTGAGCACTTAGCTTCTGTGCCACATGAAACCATGGTTTGGAGCAGCACTTTGCTTCTGCGCCACATGAAACCATGGTTTGGAGAAGAGCTAAACTATGAACCCGGGTCTGGACAGCACATTAAGGCAAACCTGAGCTCAGTGAAGTGCGTCAGCAAAACCACCTGCACATTTGTTCTGTCACGCTAAACCATGGTTTGGCTTAGAGTTACTGAGCCAGCGTGCATTTTATACGAACGGCTGTTGCGCTTAAGAGCTTCTCTTTTGAGCACGTCGTTTTTAAAAAGGTGTTGTTTTACTCCTCTGCGGTGCCTGAAGCATTTCGAACCCTTGGATGGTGCAAGATAAAATTCTGGTGGCAGTGAAGGGTGCATAAAATACCCAGAATGCCAACTGAATGGCGTGGAGGGGCATTTAAAGGCATTTATCTTGTTCCTGCAGAGGGATTAAGTGGAGCTGCCTGAACTCCCCAGAAGAGCATCGCAATATCACAGCCAAAAATGGCCGCAGGCTCCAAAACAGCCTACCTGCAGGGAACGTTTTCCCACAGTCACCTGCCTGATCCTTGGGAAGAGTAGAAAGCCCTTCACCGCTTAGGTCCAAGCTACCTGGAGGACTGTATTCCCTCATACAAACCTTCCTGGGCTCTGAGATCTTTATGGGAGTCCCTTCTCTCTTCTCTCAGTCCCGCCACCAACTCTGGCTTGCTTGTTATGGATGAGGGAGAGGGCCTTCTCGGTGCTCCCAAGGAACTTTGGAACTCCCTGCCTAGAGAAGTTAGGCTTCCTGTTTCCAGTTGCAGGTGAAGACCTTCCGATCCCGACAGACTTTTGAAAACTAACTGCTTTTAATGAAAAAGGGGCTGTTTTTATTGTAATTATCTGTACGTTTGTTTGCTTTTTAATATTTATATTTTTACTAAAAGTATACAGTGAGGGAGTAGTGTGAAAGAAAAGCGAAATGTTGAAACAATAGAGTGTATGGGTATATAACTAATAGCATTATTCCAATAAAATTATTCACATTATACCTTTCACAAATGGATTCCAAATATCATTATATTTATCCATACACAGCCTGTGCCTACTCTGAATGTTTTAATATATATTTATATGTAGTTCATATATAGAGTTTATATAAAGATAATATAAGATATATTTTTATATCATTTATATACAGTTTATATGGTTTTAATTCTATCAACCTTTAATTGTTTTTATTAATGATTTCCCCCATACGTTTTTAACGGTTCTTATTTTATCTGTAAGCTACCTTGAGTCCCTGTCAGGGGGAAAAGTGGGAAATAAACAAATATTTGGACTCAGAGGCCTGCCAGGCATTTTGAGTGAACCAACAGCTCACTGTTTCACATACCTAAGTTCAAGCTCAAGGTATAATTATATATCAGTACATAAAGCCGTTAGAAACTGGGATCAGCTTACCTATGAGATCACCTTCCCCCACATGTATCCACTTGACCACATAAAATTGGTGGAACTGGCATTGCTATAAGGAGCCACAAGATTGCCCGTTCTGCATTTGTCAAGGACTTGATTGTTTAGTGTGGCAGCGCCTACACTTCGGAACTACCTGCCACTTGAGATCAGGTCGGCAAGGCCTTCGCTGAGCTCTTTTCGGCCCCTGCTAAAAACGTTCTTGTTTAAACAACCCTGTCCAGGTATCTAGAACACTGGTGCGAGTTCTAAGTTGCTTTTAAGTCTGCTGTTATTAGACGAACTCTTTGAAAGTTGTCAATTCTTGCTGTTCATTTTTGTTATCGTTTTCTTGTTTTGCCTTTTCTGCAAACCGCTTTGAGGGCTTTTTAAAAATAATAATAATCCAGAGTTGTATAATTTTTAATGAACTTAATAATAATAATAAATACCTAACACTCCCTAACTCCTCCGGGTTGCAGGTGAAGGAATCTCGCCTGCCACTACGGATGTTTTCAAAGGAGGAAGAACAACATGACGTTTTCCTGGAGCACATAATTTGAAAGCCCTCAAGCCTTTAGGAGAGGAATTGCACCCACAAACACCAACCGCTTTGGGGGCACCTGAACTTCAGCCTATACAACACCTCCATGGGGCAGGTGAAGTGGAGCAAATGATGTTTTGACCAAGCACCCTAGATTACATATTCAAAATGTCCTCATGACCCTTCCACGTTCCCCTTAAAGAAAGCCAAATCAAATCCCATTTCTAAATGGCCTGGACACTGAGGTCCAGCGCCAAGGGCCTTCTGGCGGTTCCCTCACTGCGAGAAGCCAAGTTACAGGGAACCAGGCAGAGGGCCTTCTCAGTGGTGGCACCTGCCCTGTGGAACGCCCTCCCACCAGATGTCAAAGAGAAAAACAACTACCAGACTTTTAGAAGACATCTGAAGGCAGTCCTGTTTAGGGAAGCTTTTAATGTTGGATGCATTACTGTATTTTAATATTTTGTTGGAAGCCGCCCAGTGGTTGGGGAAGCCCAGCCAGATGGGCAGGGGTATAAATAAATAATTATTATTATTATTATTACTCGTGCGCAGCTGCTTAAGGCGCTTGTGATACATTACCAATGTTAGCTCTCCTCTTGATTTCCTTCCTTCGGTTGGCGAACCAGTTGTACACTTTGAGAGAAGTGACTCGCTCCAAGTCGGACAGTTTCTTCCCTGCATTAAAAAACACACACACCCCCAAAACAAGCTGCGTCAACGTATATTTCGCATGGGGTATCGAGGATTTGGGGGGGGGATTAACCACACGCAGACACACAAACCCCCCTTTCCCTACCTGGTTTCTGAATCACCGCATTACAGGCATTTGCGATTTCTTCCCTCTTGGCCTCATCGGGATACTGATTCTCATTGAAGTAGCTGCGGAAAAAGGAAAGGGCCATTTGCTTTTAGGACGCCCACAACCCCTTCTCCCCCAACCCTCAAAACAAAACACAGGCTTCTGAGAAACCTTTGTTGTGGGGGGAAAGAAATCGCCACCCTCGATCTTGCCAGATATCAATTCGCTCCTGAAGCTACCCCTGCTAGTGCAACTTTCTCTGCCCTTTCTCTCTCCCGCCCCCCCCCCCCGCAAAATTTTTATTAATTTTTTCCAAATATCTTAAACACAATACAGCTTAACAATATTATTCTCCTTTCAATCTATATCTTATCTGAATTAACTTCCCTCCACTCCTCTTCTGGCTTCCCTACATTGCTCTTACTTAAGCGTGATTACTACATATATGTTCTATAAATGTCTATACAGTGGTGCCTCGCAAGACGAAAAGAATCCGTTCTGTGAGTCTCTTCGTCTTGCGGTTTTTTCGTCTTGCGAAGCAAGCCCATTAGCGGCTTAGCGGATTAGCGCTATTAGCGGCTTAGCGGGCTTAGCGGATCAGCTGATAAGCGGCTTAGCGGATCAGCTGTTAAGCGGCTTAGCGGATCAGCTGTTAAGCGGCTTAGCGGATCAGCTGTTAAGCGGCTTAGCGGCTTAGCAGATCAGCTGATAAGCGACTTAGCGGCTTGGGGAAAAGGGGGGGGGGAGGAAAAAAACCCCGCAGGAACTCGCAAGACATTTTCGTCTTGCGAAGCAAGCCCATAGGAAATTCGTTTTGCGAAGCACCTCCAAAACGGAAAACCCTTTCGTCTAGCGGGTTTTCCGTCTTGCGAGGCATTCGTCTTGCGGGGCACCACTGTAATTCCTTTTTAAAAAATTGTATTATACTTTAGACATACATTCCTTATTATATTACAGCATTACATCTTGTGGTCTAATCAAATGTTTACAATAAAGGTTATGAGCTTTATTTCAGGCCTGTGAGTGTCTTTATTTATGTACAGTTTTCTCTAAGTATACCATAAATTTGGACCATTCTTTTTGGAATTTCTCATCGTCCTGCTGTCGGATTCTTCCAGTTAGCCTTGCTATTTCCGCATACTCCAATACTTTCTGTTGCCGTTCTTCTCTGCCCTTTCTCTAAATCCATGAGAAGCTTTTCTCCACAAACTTGACCTTTCACTTCCCTCGCAGAAACTGGACTGTTTCTCAGCGTTCTATTGGCGGCACCAAGACATCCCACCCAGCGAGACATCACACCGATTCCATGAACTGCAGGAAGGGAGGGAGGGACACTCAGGCCACAGGTGGGTAGCAGGTAAGGTAAAGGTAAAGAGACCACTGACCATTAGGTCCAGTCGTGGCCGACTCTGGGGTTGCAGTGCTCATCTCACTTTATTGGCCAAGGGAGCCGGCGTACAGCTTCCGGGTCATGTGGCCAGCATAGAATCATAGAATCATAGAATCATAGAGTTGGAAGAGACCACAAGGGCCATCGAGTCCAACCCCCTGCCAAGCAGGAAACACCATCAGAGCACTCCTGACATATGGTTGTCAAGCCTCTGCTTAAAGACCTCCAAAGAAGGAGACTCCACCACACTCCTTGGCAGCAAATTCCACTGTCGAACAGCTCTTACTGTCAGGAAGTTCTTCCTAATGTTTAGGTGGAATCTTCTTTCTTGTAGTTTGGATCCATTGCTCCGTGTCCGCTTCTCTGGAGCAGCAGAGAACATCCTTTCTCCCTCCTCTATGTGACATCCTTTTATATATTTGAACATGGCTATCATATCACCCCTTAACCTCCTCTTCTCCAGGCTAAACATGCCCAGCTCCCTTAGCCGTTCCTCATAAGGCATCGTTTCCAGGCCTTTGACCATTTTGGTTGCCCTCCTCTGGACACGTTCGAGTTTGTCACTGTCCTTCTTGAACTGTGGTGCCCAGAACTGGACACAGTACTCCAGGTGAGGTCTGACCAAAGCAGAATACAGTGGCACTATTACTTCCCTTGATCTAGATGCTATACTCCTATTGATGCAGCCCAGAATTGCATTGGCTTTTTTAGCTGCCGCGTCACACTGTTGGCTCATGTCAAGTTTGTGGTCAACCAAGACTCCTAGATCCATTTCACATGTACTGCTCTCAAGCCAGGTGTCACCCATCTTGTATTTGTGCCTCTCATTTTTTTTGCCCAAGTGCAATACTTTACATTTCTCCCTGTTAAAATTCATCTTGTTTGTTTTGGCCCAGTTCTCTAATCTGTCAAGGTCGTTTTGAAGTGTGATCCTGTCCTCTGGGGTGTTAGTCACCCCTCCCAGTTTGGTGTCATCTGCAAATTTGATCAGGATGCCCTTGAGTCCATCATCCAAGTCGTTGATAAAGATGTTGAATAAGACCGGGCCCAAGACAGAACCCTGTGGCACCCCACTAGTCACTCTTCTCCAGGATGAAGAGGAACCATTGATGAGCACCCTTTGGGTTCGGTCAGTCAGCCAGTTACAAATCCATTGAGTGGTAGCATAGTCAATACCGCATTTTACCAGCTTCTTTACAAGAATATCATGGGGCACCTTGTCAAATGCCTTGCTGAAATCAAGGTAGACTACATCCACTGCGTTCCCTTCATCTACCAGGCTTGTAATTCTGTCAAAAAACGAGATCAGGTTAGTCTGACATGACTTATTTTTCAGAAATCCATGCTGACTATTGGTGATCACAGCATTCCTTTCTAGGTGCTCACAGACTGTTTGCTTAATGATCTGCTCCAGAATCTTCCCTGGTATTGATGTCAGACTGACTGGGCGGTAATTATTTGGGTCCTCTCTTTTCCCCTTTTTGAAAATAGGGACAACATTTGCCCTCCTCCAGTCTGCTGGGACTTCGCCTGTTCTCCAGGAATTCTCAAAGATGACTGCCAGTGGTTCTGAAATCACATCTGCCAGTTCTTTTAATACTCTTGGATGCAGTTCATCTGGCCCTGGAGACTTGAATACATCTAGACTAGCCAAGTATTCTTGTACTATCTCCTTAGTTATTCTGGGCTGTGTTTCCTCTGCTGATTCATTTGCTCCAAATTCTTCAGGTCGGGCATTGTTTTCTTTATCGGAGAAGACTGAGGCAAAGAAGGCATTGAGGAGTTCAGCCCTTTCTGTGTCCCCTGTTTGCATTTCACCATCTTCTCCTCTGAGTGACCCCACGGTTTCTTTGTTCTTCCTTTTGCTACGAACATACCCATAAAAGCCTTTTTTGTTGCTTTTAACCTCTCTAGCAAGCCTGAGTTCATTTTGTGCTTTAGCTTTTCTGACTTTGTGTCTACACGTGCTGGCTATTTGTTTGAATTCCTCTTTGGTGGTTTCCCCCCTTTTCCATTTTTTGTACACATCCTTTTTTAGTCTTAACTCAGTTAAAAGTTCTTTAGATAGCCACCCTGGCTTAGCATGACTAAGTCGCTTCTGGCAAGCCAGAGTAGCGCACGGAAATGCCGTTTATCTTCCCGCCGGAGTGGTACCTATTTATCTACTTGCACTTTGACGTGCTTTCGAACTGCTAGGTTGGCAGGAGCAGGGACCGAGCAATGGGAGCTCACCCCGTCGCGGGTATTCGAACCGCCGACCTTCTGATCAGCAAGCCCTAGGCTCTGTGGTTTAACCCACAGCACCACCCGCGTCCCTGGGTAGCAGGAAAGAGTCCCCCAATTCCAATCCTTTTTTCCATGGCTGCGTGTTGTTGTTGTTGTTGTTGTTTAGTCGTTTAGTCGTGTTCCAACTCTTCATGACCCCATGGACCAGAGCACGCCAGGCACTCCTGTCTTCCACTGCCTCCCGCAGTTTGGTCAAACTCATGCGGTAGCTTTGAGAACACTGTCCCACCATTTTGTCCTCCGTCGTCCCCTTCTCCTTGTGCCCTCCATCTTTCCCAACATCAGGGTCTTTGCCAGGGAGTCTTCTCTTCTCCTGAGGTGGCCAAAGTCTTGGAGCCTCAGCTTCAGGATCTGTCCTTCCATTGAGCACTCAGGGCTGATTTCCTTCAGAATGGAGAGGTTTGATCTTCTTGCAGTCCATGGGACTCTCAAGAGTCTCCTCCAGCACCAGAATTCAAAAGCATCCATTATTTGGCGATCAGCCTTCTTTATGGTCCAGCTCTCACTTCTATACATCACGCCTGGGAAAACCATAGCTTTGACTATATGGCCGCTAGGAAGCGCTAAGCCTAGTCTACCTCGCAGGGTTATTGTGGGGACAAAAGGAGGAGAGGACCAGAACCTCAGAGGCCACCTCGAGTTCCTCAAGGAGAAAGATGGGCTAGAAATAAGAAAACGAAATAATAAAAAACCTTTCGGACCACAGCTGCCACTAGCCCCAGCCTGACAGCTGCTGTACTCCAAAACATTTTGAGAGTGCCAGGTTGGTCTAGGTGATCCAATATGGAAGAGATTTGGGGCAGGAGAGAGAGAGACAACCCACTTCTGTAAGGATTACTGAGAAACAGATGCGAATCGCTTTGCAGCAATATTAATGCAACACTTTCATTTCTCATTTCCCTAATGTTACTCTTGTGAAACGCCTTGCGATCTTTTGATGAAGGGAGGCATATAAATCTAATGAATTAAAATAAACACTCGCCCATAGCTTCTGGGGTGGAGCAGGCCGTAAAAGATAAAGGGACCCCTGACCATTAGGTCCAGTCGTGACCAATTCTGGGGTTGCGGCACTCATCTTGCTTTACTGGCCAAGGGAGCCGGGATACAGCTTCCGGGTCATGTGGCCAGCATGACTAAGCAGCTTCTGGCGAACCAGAGCAGTGCACAGAAATGCCGTTTACCTTCCCGCCAGAGTGGTACCTATTTATCTACTTGCACTTTGAGGTGCTTTCGAACTTCTGGGTTGGCAGGAGCAGGGACCGAGCAATGGGAGCTCACCCCGTCGCGGGGATTCGAACCGCCGACCTTCTGATCGGCAAGTCCTAGGCTCTGTGGTTTAACCCACAGCGCCACCCGCGTCCCTTAGGAGCAGGCCGTAAATTTGCACAAATAATCAAGGAGGCTTCCTGCCTGAACCTCCATTTACGCCCAAAACAACCTCCTGGCTCTCCTTGCAAGCAGAGAGCAGGCCACTCTCAGGAGACCAGGGCAAGGCTAGCCTATTTTATTGGGGAGGGGGCAACAAACAAGGTTATGTTCGTGCAGGTGGGGTAGAAGACTGCACAGCCACGGGAGAGATCTCACGATGCAGTTTATCTAGAACCACACCCATCCTGCAGCTGCGAGCGCAGACGTCCGCTCGCTGCTTCTCTTTAACCTTCGGCTCGTAAATATTCCGAGAGAAGTTTTTAAGAAGCGGGGAAGGGAGGGGACGGAGGAGAGACGGGAGAGATTCTGGATCTCCAGCACAAAAGCCGCACCCCGGCAGCCCGTAATGTGCACTGGGAGGAATTCCAAAGCAGCAGCAGCGAAGGAAAAGAGAATTGAATTACAAGCGGGCTGCAGGTCCTTCACCATGCAATACTTATGCAGAGCGGGCGAAGGAACAGGACGCCCAGAGATGTAGTGATCAGCTACGGAACAGGCTGCCCAACGTGACCAGGCAGTCTTTGTTGCCGTCTGCAGTTCCCAGCTCCATCCTCTCCACTGGATCCAGTGGATCCCAGCCTTGCAAAATCAGCCAGGGTGGGGAACAGGAGGGCCGAGGGCCAAACACGACCCAGCGAAACCCAGTATGTGGGCCTCAGGACTTTTCCACACCAGCCATGCCTCCTCTGCAACTACTGCCTTGAGTGTGCTTGACTGGAAGGAATCTGCCCTTAAACTGTGATGATGGAGGGTATTGTGTTTTTTTTCCGGAGGGGGATGGGCAGTGTTAGAAGCCTCTGGCTTTTGTAGGGTTGGAATGTAGTGATGCAACTAATAACAATTCTATTATTTATTCCCCACTCATCTAGCAGGGTTGCCCCAGCCACTCTGGGCAGCTTCCAACACGTACAAAACAATAATAAAACTTCAAATATTAAAAATGTCCCTATACGGGGCTGCCTTCAGATGCCTTCTAAAAGTCAGATAGTTGATTATTTCCTTGACATCTGATGGAAGGGCGTTCCACAGGGTGGGTGCCACCACTGAGAAGGCCCTCTGCCTGGTTCCCTGTAACTTCACTTCTCACAGGGAGGGAACTGCCAGAAGGCCCTCAGCGCTGGACCTCTGCGTCCGGGCAGAACGATGGAGGTGGAGATGCTCCTTCAGGTATACTGGGCCGAGGCTGTTTAAGGCTTTCAAGGTCAGCACCAACACTTTGAATTGTGCTCAGAAATGACTGGGAGCCAGTGAAGATCCTTTAGGATATAAGGTCCCGGCAGCCGCTCCCAGTCACAAGTTTGGCAGCCGTGTTCTGAATTCGTTGTAGTTTCTGAATCACCTTCAAAGGTAGAGTCCCATGTTGCCCGCTGGAGAAATCTCAGGCACACCACCTATTGCTGTGCCCACTTTTCGCCCCTATGCCTGCCCACCATGGGCACAAACACCCAGGAAAGGTTACTCAGGAAGGAATTTATTTCATTTATTAAACCCATACCCTGCCCTTTCTCCCAAAGGAGCGCAGGGCGTCAAACCACAAGCGATAAGAACACCTTTTGAAAGACTCGGAACGCATTTCCAATATACAGATCCAAACTGGGACGAAGATCTTTGCTTAAGAAGCTTGTTGGGAGAGGAAGATCTTCAGCAGGTGTCAAAAGAACAGCAGAGGTGGCGCCTGTCTGGTATTAACAGGGAGGGAATCCCAAAGGGTTGGTGCCACCACGCTCAAGGCCCTGCTGCTGACGGGATCTGCAGGATGCCCTCACCTGCACAGTGCCAGGCATTGCCTTGCGAGAGAAAGTTTTGAGAATGAACCCCTGGGCTGGAAAAGGTGCACCGGCCTTGCCTGAACTGGGAGAGGCCTGTCCCCACTAGATACAAACCCCTGTCTGCAGTGGCTACTGACCAACAATGGTACACAGCTAGGAAGCAGCTCCTGCAGATTAAGTTGATGGGCTATGCCGAAATGGCCGGAAGAATCAGAATCCAAGAAATTTCAATAAGGAATAGGGGGCGGGGGAATTATAATTTGTCTTAAACACCATTGTAAACTAGTAGGATTGGAATAACACTTGCGGTTAATGGTGAATTTTGGACACAACGGAGAGGTAAAAGTTTCGGATTATCATAAAAGATGCAAGAGGAAATGATTAACACAAAGGGGAGCTGTTAAGTCCAAGAGATTCTTTGGAATCTAGGTTTTATGTTGTATGCTGGATACGTGATTGTAAAATTTTAATCGGAAAAACCAAATAAAGAAACAAAAATTTAAAAAGGAAGCCGCTCCAGCAGCAAATAAGGGTGCCCCAAACTCTGCCCCAAAATCTCCTTGGGCAACAGGACCACCATCTGCGTCTCAGGGGGCTGCTCATCTCAACATCCCCCAGTACGATTGTGGCGTTCGTACGGAGCCCCCGGTCGTCTCACGGACTATTGACCCGTACACCACTAATCCGCTGCCACCAACCAGGTCCTCCCTGGTAAAATCACTTCAGTCTCAGTCAGCTTTTCAATTCATAAAGAAGAGTGTATTTTATTTCAGACTTAAAACAAAACTATTACAGCATTCCAAACAGTGTTCCTCTTTACATTCTTAGTCTTATGTTCCTCTCTCTATATCTGCTACCACCCCACACTCACGGACCAACTGCCCTAACTGTCTCTCTATGACCAACTGCCTTTCCCAACCAGCCAACCCACTCAAAAACCAACCAACTGCCCACCCACAACTCCCCCCCAACGAACTAACCCCCGGAACTAGTTTTATAGACCCACTGACTCCAGCCCCCTGGGTCCTGTCTGTGCAACCTATTTAACTATTTCCCCTCCAGCACTCTCTCATATATGTTAACGTCACAACGATCTACAACCTTCCATGGTTTCCTTCGGGATCCGCTGGTGTAGATAACACAGTCGTACCTTGGAAGCTGAACCGAATCCGTTCCAGAAGTCTGTTCGACTTCCAAAACGCTTGAAAACCAAATTGCGGCTTCTGATTGGCTGCAGGAAGCTCCAGCAGCCAATCAGAAGCCATGGAAGCCATGGAAGCCCCGTCAGACGTTCGGGTTCCAAAAGAACGTTTGCAAACAATCTCTTCCCGGCGTTCGGGAGCCAAAACGTCCGAGTTCCAGGGCGTTCGGGATCCAAGATACGACTATATTGGGAACAGGTAGAAATGCTCCCCCCCCCCTTTTTTTTTATTAGGCCCCTTAGCACAGCTGACACTTGCGACAAATCCGGTCCACCCAGAGCTTTGATGTTCCTTACCTTTCCATGACGGCCAAGCACTCCTTCCGCCAGGTGAACCGACTTCCCCGCCGTAAGCGGAAGGTGCCAGAGGTAGCTGTGACGGGGGGAGGAGTCTGCCTCCATTCAGGTTCTTCTACTGGGATCGGGGCCGGCCTCATGCTTAACGTCGCCCCTGGAAAAAAACAAAGCGGGACACGGAAGTGTTTCCCGGCGGAACTGGAAAGCCCCGCTTGGCTCCCCGCTCAACACCAAAGGAACGCAGCGGCCCACTTAGTCCAGAATCCTATTCTCACAAAGGCCAACCATATGCCTCTTCTGGGAAACCTGCAAGCAGAATTCAAACACAAGAGCAGCTCTTCCTCTCTGGTGGCTTCCAGCACCTGGGATTCAGGAGAAATAGCTGCCTCTGAGCACCAAGGCAGAGCACAGCCATCATGACCAGTAGCCATGAAGACTGACCTTCCGTAAATTTGCTTCTTTCTAAAACTGCCCTGATGAAACACAGGAGCTCGTCTAAAAGTACAGCACATCTGCTCTTTCATTTTTTAAAAAAGCCTCTTTTGCTCAGGTGAAAAGGTACGCAGGTACGGTGGACGCTTGGGTTGCGAACGTGACCCGTGCGGGAGGCACGTTCGCACCCGCAGAGCCGTGGCTGTGCATGCACAGGTTGCGATTCGGCGCTTCTGTGTTGCCCAGAGTGGCTGGGGAAACTCAGCCAGATGGGCGGGGTAAAAATAATAAATTACTAAATTATTATTATTATTCTGTGCATGTGCAAAGCGTGATTCAGTGCTTCTGCGCATGTGCGAGCACCGAAACCAGGAAGTAACCCGTTCCGGTAACTTCCAGGTTCGGCGTGGTGCGCAACGCAAAAACGCGCAACCTGAAGCGTCTGTAACCAGAGGTATGACTGCATAACCAAACTCCTATAACTTACAACCTCATTTCCTCCATATCCACTTTGCACATAATTCATATACTGTATCCCTCCCTCTCTTGCACACAAAGTAGCCCAAGGATTGCTCACCGCTGTGACCGTTCTCCCTTCTCCACACTGCTGCCCATAATCAGATCCCCGCAGTCCCTCAATCTAGAGCGCAGATGTGCTTTATTATTATTAATAATAATCATCATCATTGCTTCCGAACTGCTGAAATGCTTGGGAACACGCCAAAACTCCTCTGCAGCTAAGCCGGAGGTCTAAGTTCAGAGAAGGCTGTAATTTTTCCACCCAACAGCAATGCACCACTCCCAAAAAAGTTCCTTTTTCTTTTGCCAAGCTCCTTATTTTGCTGGGGGTGGGTGGGATCAGAACGGCAAAAACCTAGAAAGTTGCCTTGCACAGAGTCGGTCCCTGGGGCTGGGTATTCCCTGCACTGACTGGCAGCAGCTGTCCAGGATTTCGGGGGGGAGTCTTTCGCAACCTTACCTGGAGTAACCGGGGATTGAAACTGCGGACTTGCATCCCTTCCCTTAAACCAGGGTTTCCCAAACTTTTAAAGTCATCTAGGCCAGACTTGGGTCTCTCTCCAGCCATTTTGGGACTACAATCCCCATCATCATCCCTGACCACTGGGTCTTGCTAGCTAGGGATGATGGGAGTTGGAGTCCCAAAAACAACGGAAGCCCCAAGTTTGGGAAACCCTGCTAAACAAACGCGCTTGGACCTCTATTGAGTCAGTACAATCAAATTCCAGCAGGGGCTGGAAACGGATTTCTGTGCTGATGTAGCATCCAGATGCAAAGCAATTATTATTATTAATATCCAACACTTCAGAATAACAACAACAACAACAATAATAATAATAATTTATTTATACCCTGCCCATCTGGCTGGGCTTCCCCAGCCATTCTGGGCAGCTTCCAACAAAATATTAAAATACAGTAATCCATCAAACATTAAAAGCTTCCCTAAACAGGGCTGCCTTCAGATGTCTTCTAAAAGTTTATTTCCTTGACATCTGATGGGAGGGCGTTCCACTGGGAAGGCGCCACCACCGAGAAGGCCCTCTGCCTGGTGCCCTGTAACCTCACTTTTCGACTACGAGGGATTGCCAAGGAGAAGGAAGAGGAAGAGGAAGAGGAAGAGGCCTTTGGTCAGGGCGCAGCCTGACCCCCTCCTCTGGCAATCGGCAATCTGCACAGAATTTGGCCTGATGGTTGCCATTAATTTGATTTTAATTTAATTTGATTTAATTAATTTTATAATGAATGTTTTAGAATGTCAGATTATTTTGATTGTTGTTAGCCGCCCTGAGCCCAGCTTCGGCTGGGGAGGGCGGGATATAAATAAAATTATTATTATTATTAAGAAGAAGAAGAAGAAGAAGAAGCCGCCAGATGGGACCAATGCTCTGGCTCTGTATAAAAGCAGCCTCTGACTTTCCTGACTTTCAGAGCACAGAGCAAGGTCTGCCTCTTGTTAGCTGGGAGAGTTCCCCACTTGGGCCCAAAGGCAGCTGCTAATACAGTCATACCTCATGTTACATTTGCTTCAGGTTGAGCGTTTTCAGGTTGTGTCCTGCGGCGACCTGGAAGTTCCGGAAAGGGTTACTTCCGGGTTTCACCGCTTGCGCATGCACAGGCGCACAAAATGACATCGCGCATGCGCAGAAGCGGCAAGTCGCGACCCGCGCAGACGCGGGTTGTGTTCCTTTCAGGTTGCGAACGGGTCTCTGGAACGGATCCCATTCGCAACCAGAGGTACCACTGTACTCAGGTTAAAGCAGAAGCTAGGAGCAAATTGAGGAAGGACATTCTGGCATTTGTGTTAAAAAAACAACAAGAACATCCCCAAAACGGACCCAGGTGGTTGATGCCTCGCATCTCCAAGCCGAGCCTGAGTCTGTGACAGCCAAGGGAAGAAGAGACGGGGAGCTCAGCCAAGGGAACTCATTCATCCTTTCCCACTTGGCTGGCTACCTGCTGGCCCTGCCAGACTGATCCGGTCCGCCCTAATGAATCAGTGCCGCTGGTGTCAAAGCGTGGGCGCTCCAAGGTGGGTCGGCCAATGCGGCAAAGCTCCGACCCGGTTCCCAAACACGCTTTGCTTGGAACGCTGGCGGGCAAACCGCAGGGCCCTTGTGGGAAGAAGCAGCAGCCAGCTTGGCAGAGGAGAGCCCTGCGAGTTTGTGGTCCTTCTAGTCTGGAACCCTGCTCTCGGGTGGCCAAGCAAGATGCTTATGGGAAGCCCGCGAGCAGGACCCGGGTGCAACAGCAGCACTCTCTCCCCTCCTGTGGTTCACGGCAGCTGGTGTCCGGAAGCAAGCGACCTCCAGCAACAGAGGCAGAGAACAGCTGTTGTGACTAGAAGCCCTGACCAGACTTATCCTCCTTGAATTACCGTGTTTTTCACTCCATAAGACGCACCTGACCATAAGACGTACCTAGTTTTTAGAGGAGGAAAACAAGAAAAAAAATATTCTGAACGAAACAGTGGATGTATGATTTTTGTGGTTCATGCTGTGGCCACAGACATGTGATCTGATGGTGAATTTGGGGTGACCCAATGCAAAAATCCTGAGGATCCATGTGGATCCGTGCTTTGTAACCACGTTTTTGCACCACTGCGGCACCACGCAACACTGGATGCATGATTTTTTTGGTACAGGCTGTAGCCATGGACATGCTATGTGATCTAATAGTGAATTTGGGGTGACCCAATGCAAAAATCCTGAGGATCCATAGGCTTTTACCTCCCTCCTCCCAGGTAGCCTCTGCTAGCGTCCCTTATCTCTCTTCTGATCCCACTGATCAGCTGTTTCCTTTCAACACTCCCTTCCCTCTTGTTTGCCTTAGTGTCTTTTTCTTAGCTGGAGCAGTTTTTTGCTCCTCCTTTTCTTCTACTTTCTCTCCTTATTGCTTTAGTCTTCCTGCTTCTCCCAGGAAGTTTGCTGTCTTTACCTCCCCCCTCCCAGGCAGCCTCCTTTATCTCTAGCATCCCTTATCTCTCTCCCCGATCGGCAAACGATCAGCGGCTTTGTTTCAACACCCACTTCCCTCTTTTTTTAAAAAAAGCATGATCTGCTTTTTGCCCTTGGGCAATTCAGCTCCAGGGACCACGCATTCGCTCCATAAGACACACAGACATTTCGCCTTACTTTTTAGGAAGAAAAAAGTGTGTCTTATGGAACGAAAAATTCGGTATCTACCATGGCTAGCCATGGTGGCTTGACTAGGCCTCCATGGTTGGCCGAAGCAACTCTCCTGAAGACCAGTTGCTGGAATGGCTGGAGGGGAAGAGTGCTGCTCTTGGGCTCAGATCCTGGCTTGACGGCTTCCCATGTTGTCGCCCGGATGCCAGACTAGGTGGGCCATTGGCCTGATCCAGCAATGCTCTTCTTGTGCTCCTAGGATAGCCTTCTCTTCCGCGAAGTTGGTGGCTGTCCCTACATCTGTTGGCAGCAGCCTCCACTCTTTGCTATGAGTTGTGGACCTCCCTTTGGCCTGTCCTGAATCTCCCAGGCTTCAGCTTCGTTGGAGGACTGTTAGCCAGAGGTACATGGAAACTTCCATGTGCGGTGGCCGTACATGCTGGGAGTCCCCCCTCTTAATTTATAAGAAGTCGCATATGGAAGAAAGGGGCACAGAGTGACAGATGCACCTCACAAAAATAATGCCGGGGCAATGCAAAAATCCTTAGCTTTTCAGAAGGAAGTGGCCGTCTCACAAAATCTCCATTAAAATACGGAACTGCCCTATAACTGGTAAGATCGTTTTGTCCATCCAGCCTGGTACTGTGCAGGATCCGAGGCAGAGGCCCCCCTCTGTTATCTGCTACCTGGAGACGTCAGGAAGGGCCATAGCTGGGAGAGAGCCATCACTGGAAGCCAGGAGAGCCTCTGCCAGTCAGTGTAAACAATCAGAGCTAGGGGGACCAATGATTTTCCATAGAAAGTGATCTACCAACGAGCCATGGTCCTTCTAAAAAGGCAAATCCAGGCACTGTACTCCTGGGCTTACACTTCACTCACCAGCCACTTGAAAATTCGTGGGCTAAGCCCCCCAAGTAGAAAAGCACACCTATTCCTTTTGGTTACTTTGGGGGTAAGAGAAGAGGTAGCCTCCAATTGCAAATCCTCATTGACAAAGCCAGATGGATGGATGGATGGATGGATGGATGGAAGGAAGGAAGGAAGGAAAGGAAGCGAAGGAAGGAGGGAAGGGAGGGAGGGAGGGAGGAAAGGGAAGGAAGGGAGGGAGGGAGGAAGGAAGGAAGTAAAGGGAGGGAGGGAGGGAGGGAGGGAGGGAGGGAGGGAGGGAGGGAGGAGAAGGGGATGACAGAGGACGAGATGGTGGGACAGTGTTCTTGAAGCTACCAGCATGAGGACAGAAACCAAATAAACAGTAATTCAGAGGCCACGGGCGATAGCTGTCATGGCATTTGAAGTTCCCATTCTTGTCCTACCGTCTCCCTCTGGTTAAACAAAACAGCAGCGCCGCCTGCTGACGAGCGAAGGAATCGCTGCGCAATGTTGTCCAGCGCACTTTGGTATTTTTCAAGTTGCAATTCGATGCCGTAAATTCCACATGCGCCCCAAACATCTGCCAGCCCTCTTTGGAAAACAAAGGTCCCCGATACAGACTCATTTGCAGGGAAGTTCCCCATACCTTGCTCTGCCCAATGCAACCCTCCTCCCACCCCCGCCCACCCCTATTCCTGAGCATGGATTGTAACTGGGGGGGCAGGGAACAAGGGAGGGAGGAGGGGGGGGAAGGTCCATGCCGACCGAAGCACGATGAAGCCAACAACACTCACAGCCGCTGGGCAAAAGGTTTGGTTCAGAGGGAACAGCTGGAGTGTCTCGGCTTGGTTTTGTTTACCGGGGTTTGTCTTCTCAAGCTGGTACCATCGGTAAAAGGCCCTTTTCTTTTGCTCGCTCAGGTCCGATCCCTGTTGCAACAGCCAGTGGGAGATCCGGCTCTGACTGATACCTGCAGGAAAGAGCAAAGAGAGGAGAGAGAAAAGGTGGATCTACACACGGGGGAAAAACCCGCTGTAAATAAGTAATACATTAAAACATTATAATAAAATGGAAAGAAAAAAACAACCGCTATGTAAAATCGCATAGAAAAAGTCTGTGCTTTACAGCGCCATCTGGTGATACTTGTTTATAACGCATTCAAAACACTGGTTGTTTTTTTACTAATGTAGCCGGGGGTTATAAAGACTAGGACTAGCCAGCTGAGAAAGTTTCTATCCAAATGTGATTTGGTTTTAAACACATTGTAAGGAGTCTGTATGGGAGTATATTGTATTTAAAAATGGGGTATCAGAGTTTTTAGGGGGCTAACCAGGCTGGGATAGCAGGCTTGTTGGGTTTTGAATGTCTTATGTAGATTTTTCAATTTCGTTGTTCTGTATGGGACAATGACAATAAAGATTATCTTATCTTATCGTATTGTATCGTATCGTATGAGTCCCCAGATAGAGAAAGAGAAACTATGCAACTGATTGCCACACTGTGTGGCTCCTCCTCTTGCGCACAAGTTTTCATCACGCCCTACAGACAACCTGTGATCAAGCCACACACGCTGTTCCCAATTCTTTTCCTTTTCCCATTAGGAAAGGAACTGAAAATAAAACTGCCTATTTATCATAATGCCATCAGACAAAATCTATGGTGCGGCCACATTTGGTCGCCTCGTGTCAAAAGGGATATCGCAGGGTTTATGGGCATTGCCATTCAAATGGTGTGGTTGTGTGTGCTGCATCTTGTGATCAGTTATGTGGGGCAGGGCATACCTGGGCCCCCCAATATTTTATTCTAGTTAGCACCCCGGCACTCCCCTGGGTAGCCCCACTGCCATCCATGGGGTGGTAACCTCCCTGCTTTGGGAACCACCGCCTTAATATCCCCATTCTGCATTAAATCCTATATTGAGTTTGCATTCCACCAGGAACATTTTGCAAGGTGCGTGGAACATCGTGACACACAGTTTTGCATTGGGATCCCTAACCCTACTCTGGACACACAGTTTGGGTGCTTTGGGGCTAGAAAACACAGACCCGGGCACTCTTATTTTAATTTAAAAAGAGCCCCTACATATATATATATGGCTTTGAGCTCTCACATTTAAGAGACCGAATTTTCAGATGACATTATTGTGATTAATTGCTCCTACCGCTTACATAGATAGACAACGACTTGGGGGGGGAGAGAGAGAGACAGCGAGCGCAGAATAGCAGCTTATAGGACATTACGAACACGTCCACCAGGAAATGGAATGACTCACTCGGCCGTTCATTCTGCTCTGGACAGAACGATCCAGCCACGCATGCGCACTACCCAGGAGTAAACAGCAGTCAGTCCTGGGTGGATGAGAAATGCAGACCAGGAAGGAAGTGATAGAAATCGCCACATCTTTAAGATAACTTTGCATGCGGAAGAAAAGGGAGTGGGTGATAGTCCAAGACACGGAATGAATTTTTTGGTGTGGGGAGGGGCCATAGGTAGCAACTCCCTGGGGCCCTGGTAAAGGTAAAGGGACCCCTGACCGTTAGGTCCAGTCGTGGTCGACTCTGGGGTTGCGGCGCTCATCTCGCTTTATTGGCCGAAGGAGCCGGCGTACAGCTTCCGGGTCATGTGGCCAGCAGGACTAAGCCGCTTCTGGCGAACCAGAGCAGCGCACGGAAACACCGTTTACCTTCCCGCCAGAGCGGTACCTATTTATCTACTTGCACTGGCATGCTTTCAAACTGCTAGGTTGGCAGGAGCAGGGACCAAGCAACGGGAACTCACCCCGTTGCGGGGATTCGAACTGCTGACCTCCTGATCGGCAAGCCCTAGGCTCTGTGGTTTAACCCACAGCACCACCTGTGTCCCATGCCCCATGAAGGGGCCGGGCACCCACAAATTTCGGTGCCAAGGCCATGAAAGCTGAATGGCACCCACAGCCCTGGGCACCAACGGTCGTGGCGCCAAGCTGGCATTCCTGGGAGGGGCAGAGATTAACCGTAACTTCCGTGGTAGGCAGGAAATCTACTTCTCTTTGCATTTTCAAAACGGGAAGCGTATCATTCATTAAACACTCCCCTGTGTGTTATTTTTAGGATCTGGACTCGAAGTGCCTGGATAGATGACTCAGTGCGCTGGCTCACGTGTGGTGCTAAGCCAGAGGTTGGCAAGCTTACCGGACAATGGGCTGGTCCACGCTCCTTCTGTTGGAGGATGGGCCGCAGTGTGTGCACACGCACACTCTTCTGGGTTGGAGGAGCGTGCATGTGTGTGTGCACACACACTATTTCCGGAGCTTTTCCGACCTAAATGTGCCCCAGAAATAGCATGTGCGCATGCACACGGGTGCTTCTCTGTCCTGCACGCATGCGCACACGCTATTTTCAGTGCATATCCGGGTCGTAGGAGCGCCTATGCGCATGCGCACAGGCACCATCAACCCGGAAGTCAGTAAGAGCGGGCGGCAGGGGGCAGCAGGGGTCGCCATGGGCCAGTTAGATGAGCCCCGTAGGCCGCTACTGGCCCATGGACCATAGGTTGCAGACCCCTGTGCTAAGCCAAACCACGGTTTAGTGTGCATGATCACAGGCTCTGGGAGAGGACATTGTGGCTTCTTTGCTCTTCCTTGGTTGCCACTGCACTGGGTTTAGTGGTTTCATCCTCCTTTGACAAACAGCCTAACTATGGCACCAATAGAGCGAAAACATGACCGCATGTTCAGAGAGTGTGCTAAGCCAAACCTCCTCCCCACAATCTCCACACACATGCATTCGTGCAAAGACACGGTTTGGTTTGGTGAGAACCGATTCCTGAATTTTAGCTGTGGATCCTTCACTGCAGAAGGTTGGAATAGATCGAGGTTTCCCAAACTTGTGCCTCCCGCTGTTTTCAGACTACAATTCCCATCATCCCTGACCACTAGTCCCACCAGCTAGAGAGGATGGGAGTTGTAGTCCAAAAAAACAAGATCCGGGTCCCTTCCAACTGTACAATTTTATGAAAACCAGGCCACTGTGATCAAGGGAAGGGCTTTGGACACATTAAAGGACTCTGTATCTACTTCATAATTCACAGCTTTGAGGCAGAACTTTATTTTTACAGTGTGTTTTAAACACGACATTTGAAACGTATTCTTTTCGCATTTTTCTTTGGTTGCCAGCAGACTGGTTTCCACTGAAACACCCTTTTTGCCTGCGGAACACGACCGGGACTGATGAACCTGTGAGACCCCCTTCCCACATTACAGTCCCCCCGCATCCCAAATTAGTTCCCACTGTGTGCTTTCCCCCAATCTCATCTCTAGAGGGAGCAAGCATGAAAAGAAGAGCCCCTTTCCACTGGGTCTTCCTGCACAGGCTATTATTAGTTCACCCTGTCATTCGCCTTATCTGCGTATTATTAATAAGCTGCCCTGCCCATCAGCGTCTTGTTTCTCTTACTACACAACCCTTGAAAGGCAGCTTCTATAAATAAAAGACTTCCACATTCCTCTCTGAGATCACCCGCTCCGAGACCCCACAGCGGATTCTCCCCTGACCTCCTCGCTGGCCCAAGTAGGACCAATTCAGCCAGCTAGCCCTGGGGATTATTTAATTGCTTTTTGATTTTTATTGTTATTCATGTTTTTATACTGTATTTTATGCTGCTTTTATAATGAAGTGTTTTAAATTTGTTGTTAGCCGGCCTGAGCCCAGTTTTTGAACCAGGAAGGGCAGGGTATAAATAAAATAATAATAATAATAATAATAATAATAATAATAATAATAATAATAATAATTATTATTATTATTATTATTATTATTATTATTATTATTATTATTCCGGGCTAGTGCTTATCAGTTGCTGCTTTGTGTAGGGCTTCCAATAATAATAATAATAATAATAATAATAATAATAATAATAATAATAATAACCAAAAAAAAATAATAACAAATTGCAGCAGCACACTTTTGGGGTTTTTCCTTTTTTTCAGCTTTTCTGCTCTATTTTGCTGCATGGCATTACTTTATTATTGTTTCATTGCATTTATAGCTTGCCCTTTTTCTCTAAGGACCTCAAGGTGGCACGCCTGAGAAAGCCAAACACAAAATTTCAACCAGCCTCCCAGGTTTTTTTCTCCAGCCCTCTACTCAGACCAGATTCCTTCTCACCAGCCCTGCTCTGTGTATCCCCACCACGACCACTTCCCAAGTCCTGTGACTAATAATAATAATAATAATAATAATAATAATAAATAATTTATTTATACCCCGCCCTCCCCAGCCAAGACTGGGCTCAGGGCAGCTAACACCAGATATAAAACAATTGATTGAAATACAACTTTAAAAAAACGAGATTAAAATACAACATTAAAATGCAGCCTCATTTGAGCAGAAACTCAGACACTTTTTCGGGGATGAAAACGTCAAATCTTCACAAAGGCCAACTATCCAGACTGGTCCTACGTGGGCCAGAAAAAAGCCAGGGAAGTCCCCAAGTAGGAGTTCCATCACAGGAGGAGAAAGGAAAAAGGAAAGAGAGGGAAGGGGATCAAGTGGATTCCAAGCCAAAAGCCAGGCGGAACAACTCTGTCTTACAGGCCCCGCTTAGCTAGAATGTGCCCCTGAAATACAGAAATACTTCTTGCTCGGAGGGAGGGAAAGAGGGTGGGGTGGGTGATTTTAGCATGACCGCAAGATAGCCTGCTGTGCAAAGAATCATAGAATTGTAGAGTTGGAGGGGACACCAGCGGTCATCTAGTCCAACCCCCTGCAATGCAGGAATCTTAACTAAAACATTAATGGCAGACAGCCATCCAATTTCTTCTTAAAAACATCTGATGAAGAAGAGTCCACAACGTCCCGAGAAACTCGGGTTCCACTCTCAAACAGCTCTTACAGCCAGAAAATTCTTCCTGGTGTTTAGTCGGAATCTCCCTTCTTGTTACTTGAAGCCATGGGTTCGAATCCCACCCTCCAGAGCAGGAGGAAACAAGTT